GAGTTGCCCAGACTGGAGTGCAGTAGCACCATCATGGCTCACTGCAACCTTGATCTCCTAGGCTCAGGTGATCATCCCACCTCAGCCTCTGGAGTAGCTGGGACTACAGGCATGCACCACCGTGCCTGGCTAATTTTTTATTTTTTTAGAGATGGGGTATCCCTGTGCAGTCCAGTCTGGTCTCAAATTCCTGGGCTCAAGCAATTCTTCTGCCTTAGCCTCCCAAAGTGCTGGGATTACAGACATGAGCCACTGCACCCAGCTGATTTTTCATTTCTAACCCCAATGCAGCTGGTCCATAGACCATACTTTGAGTAGGAAGGCGTTAGATATCCAAATTTTTCTCTGTATTATCTAATCCTCCATCCAAATGTCTAGAAACCAAAAGCAGAACAAAAAGCAACCACTGTCAATTTAATAAGGCCAATAAAGGTTACTTTTGGGTGAGTTTTGTTTTGTTTTGTTTTGAGAGTGAGTCTCACTCTGTCACCCATGCTGGAGTGTAGTGGTGCAGTCTTGGCTCATCGCAACCTCCATCTCCTGGGTTCAAGTGATTCTTCTGCCTCAGCCTCCCGAGAATTGGGGTTATAAGTGTGCACCACTATACCCGCCTAATTTTTGTACTTTCAGTAGAGATGGGGTTTCACCCTGTTGGCCAGGCTGGTCTTGAACTCCTGACCTTAGGTGGTCTGCCTGCCTCAGCCTCCCAAAGTGTTGGGATTATAGGCATGAGCTACTGCGCCTGGCCTTGGGTGAGTTTTTTTTTAACTCTACATTCTGGGGCAATTTTCAGTAGTCATGGTCTAAATATCTGTGGTGTTTTCTGTGTCATATCATAGGGATTTAGAGCATGGGGGAAAAAACTAATTTTCACGCTCAGTAACCTTACTGTTTACAAAGGAGATGAGTTAGATTAAACAGCAAAACAACAAGTCAGCTCAAGTCCACACATCTATACAGTATACATCCATATTGACCAAAGGACACAGAAGAGTATGGATAGACCACAGACTGTCATCAGCAGGCACCAAAACCCTCCCTGCGGGCCTTACAGTGTCTAAGTGTCCACTCTGGATCCACCCCAATTCATGCTCTCCATGACTACTAACTGGAATAGGCTTTTCCAAATTGCAAAACTGATCCTTAGAGTCCCCCGCTCTACACCCCCATTTAAAACCTTCCATTTCCCACCCCCCAGACACACACTGCTCTTGGCAAGGTCTACATGGCCCTGCAGGGCTGGCCTGTGCCTCGCCCCCGCACTTTGTGTCGCAGTCACACTGGCCCTCTCTCAGTTCTTCATTGCATGCTGTGCTTCTCCCTGTCACGGAGTCTTTCCGCACACTGTTGGCTGGAACACATGGTTTAACCCCATCTCCTTCACAACCAAAGATGAAGAAGGTGTGAGCTACAAGCAAGTTAGCATTTACTTCTGCCCCCCAAGAAGGCTTCCTAGGGGAGGGGAGGTGGTTACCATACAAGAGGAAAAAAGGTCAAGTGAGGTGAAATAGGCAACAGGCTTGGAATGAAAGAGCTCAACAGAATATTATGTCCAAAAGAACTTGAAAATAGGCTGCGTGCAGTGCCTCATGCCTGTAATCCCAGCACTTTGGGAGGCCATGGTGTGCAGATCACTTGAGGTCAGGGGTTCAAGAGCAGCCTGGCCAATATGGTGAAACCCTGTCTCTATTAAAAACACAAAAAAATTAGCCAGGCATAGTGGCACGCACCTGTAATCCCAGCAACTCTGGAGGCTGAAGCAGGAGAATCACTTGAACACAGGAGGCAGAGATTGCAGTGAGCTGAGATTGTCACTGCACTCCAGCCTGGGTGACAAGGTCAAGACTCCACCTCAAAACAAAAAAGAACTTGAAAATGGAAGGTCAATTTGGGTGCTTTCAAAAGGTTCAAGGAACCTAAAATACTGTATAGGATGAGAAGTCTTTCTTAGTATTTTCATCCAGACTACCAAATCTCTCATTAGCTCCAGTTTTTCTTTAGCTCAAGACTTATATTGCCAAGTGCCTATTTGGATATCTCCTCCCAAGGACCCCAGTGACCCTCTCAATACTATAATACAGTTAATCTGAAACTGAACACACATTTCTGTTTTTTAATTAAAAAAATTTTTTTGAGACAGGGTCTCATCCTGTCACCCAGGCTGGAGTGCAGTGGTGCAGTCACAGCTCACTGCAGTCTTGACATTTCAGGATCAAGTGATCCTCCTGCCTCAGCCTCCCAAGTAGCTAGAACCACACAACGTGCACCACCACCCCTGGCTAATTTTTTTTTTTATTTGTAGAGATGCCCTATGCCTTTTTTTTTAACCGAGGTCCTGGAGGCTTTTATTTCTGACTGTGTCAGTGGGCCCTTGTCCTTTTCTTGGCTTTGGTGCTTCATCGTCCACCTCTGCTCTCCCTTATGCTCCAAGCTAAAGGAGATACTTGCCCTGTGTTTGAATACCCAATGGGCCTTCCCATTTGTGACTGCCTATACTGCTTCCTTCTCCCCAGCCCGATCCAAATGTTAACCATTCTTCAAGGCTCACCTCAAGTGCACATCTTCTTATGAGGTCTCTGATCCCCCAGCAACATGAGATAGTTCCTCAGAACTCCCATAGCATCGTGAAATTCTCATAGCACACATTGTATTCTACTGTGATGATGATGATGATAATGATGATGATGATTCCTTTAAAATTTCTTTGATGATGGTGTCACTAATATCTATTATCACTGAGCATTTACTAGCTGAATATCTTGGGCACATTATACAACTTCTGCATGCTTCTGCTTTCATCTGTAAAACAGTGGTAATAACAGCTCCTAGCTCAAAGGGTTGCTGTGAGAATTCATTTAGTTAATACAAAGAAAGCAGGAGAATCAGGCCTAACACATAGCGACTGATTAGTAAATGTTAGCTATTGTCATTACTATGAGTGCAGGGTAGCACTTTATATTGATTGCCTCAATGAACCCCCTGACCTCATGAACTAGGTTACTATTATTATATTATTTTTAAAACATTGTAGTAAACTACATATAACATAAACCATTTTAACAATTTTATTTATTTATTTTGAAACAGTCTTTCCTTTTGGAATAATAGAACGCAATACTTTACTCTCAAAAAAAAAAAAAAAAAAAACTCTTTATAAAAAAAAAAAAAAAAAAAAAAAAAACAGTCTCAGTCTCTCTCTGTCACCCAGACTGGAGTGCAGTGACGCGATCTTGGCTCATTGCAACCTGCGCCTCCTAGGTTCAAGTGATTCTCATGCCTCAGCCTTCTGAGTAGCTGAGATTAGAGGTGACCACCACACCTAGCTAACTTTTGTATTTTTAGTAGAGATGGGGTTTCACCATGTTGGCCAGGCTGGTCTCCAACTCCTGGCTTCATGTGATCCACTGCCCTCAGCCTCCGAAAGTGCTGGGATTATAGGCATGCGCCACCACGCCCAGCCCATCTTAACAATTTTAGGTGTATAGTTCAGTAGGGTTAAACACATTCACATTGTTGTACAACCGGTCTCTAGAACTCTTCATCTTGCAAACTGAACCTTTATACTCCTTAAATAACTCATTTCCTCCTCCCCCAAGCCCTGGAAAGCACTATCCTTCTTTCAATGAATTTGTATTATTATAGTCTTTACAGACTAAGAAAACCAAGGTTCTGAGAGTAATTTGTTTTTAGAGAAAGAATCTGGATTTGAACCCAGAGCCCGGGTCATGCTCTGAGCCACTTTGAAATATGTTCACTTCACACAACATCTGTGATGTTTTCCCTTCCCCCATAATAGTGATGGCCATTGTGTGCCAAGGCCCTCCTCTATACCATTGTCACATTTAATCCACACAGCATCCCTGTAGTCGTCGTGAGGGGTGGTGTCCTATTTCCCAGACCAGCAGCTGATACAGAATAGGGTTCAGTGGGTATGGGTCTGTTTGATGTCTTTAAGTAGGCTAATAATACTAAATAAATTTGTAGGGCATTTTTTTTTTTTTTTTTTTTTTTTT